GGTGCGTTCTACATGGTCTCCCTGAAAACAAGACCAAGTTGCGACAACGAGGTCAACCCACTTCTAATATAATTATCGTTTCAGGAATAAAATTTCATGCAATGATTCGAGGTAATAAGCTAGTTGCCTCAAAAATGTTTTATAATAAATAAGCAAACATACGTTGCTTTATAATCGTTGGAAATACTCTAATAAGATAGCTTAAAGGTAGTTAGCAAATACATCGGTTATAAAATAGTATAGTAAAATGTTTTAAATAAGATATTTAGTATAACACGTGATAGTTAGATGTTATCGTAAGCAAATTCTAAATGACTTTGCGAGACATTACTTGCCTGGCGTTCGCTTTGTCTATCAGCTTTGTGTCCAACTAGCACAAATGCAGGCATTGGGCATTTAATACATAGGATGGCTTCCTCGTACCATTCTGGAATATGTTCCAATGTCTCACGGTTTGTAATATCAAAGAGAAGCAGTGCTCCAACAGAGTTTCGGTAGTATGACCTGGTAATGGATCTAAAAAAGTTAAAAAGATAAGCTAACCTAAACTTTTCTTGTCCTGCCGTATCCCAAAGTTGCAGTTTGATGCGTATACCATTCTCAAGTACTATTGTCCTTGTGCAGAAATCTACACCAACGGTGGGATCACATAGAGATGTAAAATCTCCATCGCTGAATGCTTTGACCAAAGATGATTTTCCCACCATACTATCACCTATTAGTATTATACGAAACTGATAGTCAAAATAAGGATTTATCATGATGCGAAAATTGGAGAAACAAACAAGCAAAATAAAACCATTAGAAGAAGCGCCTAAAACTAAAACAAAATTTAATATAATTTCTTAAACCTCTTAAAAATTATGAAGTTATGTTTGAAATAAAAATATTACTCATTATCAACAGCTGTCTTGTTATATTTTACGTGATGCCTCCTCACTCGCGGCCGCTACTCAAGGTACTCTTTTTTCGTCTAATTGTAGCATATAAAAGGCTCCTCTACTACAATCTGTGATCTTGACGGCCTCTTAGTAAATTCAGAAAACTTTAGTCAGGTTTGCTAAATCTTTTTTATGT